CCAAACATTACTATTATTATAAGACTACGCACCGATTTAACCGATTTGGCCAGTGTGACCGTGTTCAAAAATTGTACGATACAATAGGGGCACTCCCATATGTTGTTTAGCTAAAGCTTAGTTTTGCAAATTTTCAATTTAAAAAAGTTGTATCCATTTTATATGTTATGAATCCAAAAAATCTCCATAATCTATAAACTCTTAGAAGAATAAAATGTAAACATACGATTTTGTACACCCGCTACTCGAATAGTTAAGGGTTAAAAGTTAAAGTTCGTTAAAAAGTATTCTTTATTCTTAATTCTTTTATTCATTTTAAATTTTTTTTTAATTTTTTTGATGTTATGATGTTGTAGAAATTCAAGAAAATTAGAAATGTCCTACGGCTGAAGTTCTTAACTCTGTAACTCAACCTATTTTAATCGGATTTTGAAGTGGCATACCTCTAAATGTTTCTGGCGCAATTCTCTAAAAGTCTGCATTCAAATTTAGAAATTAATTTTTTTTTTCATTTTTTGTAATTTTTTTGATGTTATGATGTTGAGAAATTCAAAGATATTAAAATATGCCCTAATGCTGAAGTTCTAAGCCCCATAACTCAACTTATCTAACTCGGATTTTGAAGTGGGATACCTCTAAATGTTTCTGGCGCAATTCTCTAAAAGTCTGCATTCAAATTTATAAATTTATTTTTTTTTAATTTTTTTGTAATTTTTTTGATGTTATGAAAGAAGATGTTGTAGAAATTCAAAGAAATTAAAAAATGTCCCAAATCTGAAGTTCTGTACTCCATAACTCAACTTATCTTTATCGGATTTTGAAGTGGCATACCTCTAAATGTTTCTGGCGCAATTCTCTAAAAATCTGCATTCAAATTTATAAATTTTTTTTTTTTTAATTTTTTTGTAATTTATATCAATATTTTTTATATCAATATTACCGATATTCCAGAAAATGTTGAAATTTCTCGTTTGCACTTCCACTAGCTGAGTAACAGGTATCTGATAGTCGTGGAACTTGACTATTGCATTCTATCTTGTTTAATTATCTGTTTAGTATTTGATGCTTTTCCGTATAACTTGAATATACAGGATAATGCCTCAGGATTATGACTTTAATTGCTGGTTGCAGTGGACTCAGCCTATTACCAATTATTCTGCAGGTATTTTTTTTGCCGCCGTGCCCTGGTCCCACTGCGTGCATATATAATTTCGCAACAGAGCGGCTTTAAGGTTTATTTTATTAGTCGTAATTAAATGCACTATGTTTGCACTCTGAAAGGCGTCGCAAGAGCATTAGAATGAGCGTCAGCATTGTGCAGTACTATGGCAGCCAAAGGAGCAAGTGCGGCTACTGCGCGGGAGCGAACTGCAGCCTGTCGCACGGTAAGAACATGCAAAACCAGTTCAAAAGTCAAGTGCAATGTACCCATTCAATTATCGAGCATTCCTCATGTATGACCACGTTTGACAGGTATGCACGCCTATCGGCTGGACTGTCAGGACTACCAGGACCTCATCGATCGTGGCTGGCGGCGGTGCGGCAACTACTGCTACAAGCTGAGTAACCAGGAGACCTGCTGCCCCTGCTACACAATCAAATGCGACGGCCTGGAGTTCAAGCTCTCCAAGTCGAACAAGCGCATTCTGCGCCGCATGAATCGATTTCTGCGCGACGGCAAGCGGGAGTCCAAACTGGAAACCGGCGACGGAGACGGGGAAGCCGATGCCGATGACGCCATAGGGGCACCCGAAGTCACGGCCGGTGAACCGCAGCCCCCGCTGCCCGATAAGAGTCCCACTGTTATCAATGTCGATCATGTTGCTTCACTCGCAACGGCTCAAAAGAAGCACACAAAACAGGCAACTGCTCCAGCGGTGGGAGCTCCCACGCTGGGGTCCAACAAATGTGCGTATGCTCCTCTAAGTGTGCTTCTTCGTATAGCACTGCTCAAGGAATTTGTTTGATTAGCATCCATCCGTTCCGCGGCTTTTGGTTAAAACTATCTTAATTTGTTAAAAATATCTTAATTACGAGCTGGCATTGTCCATATGGTTAATGATCTGGAAAAATTTAAGCTCATTATTTTTGGTTCAAACTGAATTTTGGTTTATTATAGGTTGAATGCTTGAATTGATTAAGACACTTTTTAAAGTCTTTTAGCATACTGCGCAATAGTATCAATAGTCTACAACTCGTGTAACTTTGGAATATTTTATAGAAAATACCTATTTTTAGGATTGTTCTGTCAAACTATGGTCGTGTAAGCCTATTTTGTTAATATATATTAACATTCACTCTTTTGTTCACCAGCCGCAGCACCGATCTCAAACAAGCCGTGCAAGAAGGCTAAGCAGATGCGATTGGATCGTCGGCGAGCCAAGCTGGGAGACTCGGCCTCAATCTCGACGAAATCCGTTTCCCAGGAAAAGAGTCTTCGGGACTTCTTGTACTTGGACAGCGAGACCAACAAGCATCAGCTAAAGGTGCGTTGCGGATAAAAGTCCATACAATATTTAGTTAGACCGTTTGCAAAGCTAAGCTAGATAGCGTGAACCTATGTATGTTCTTAAGGGTGTATATTGTATATTGTGCCTATGTGTTTCCTGTGTCCGTCCCCCGAGTATGAGTCTCCCGCTACATGTAGACACATCTGTCTTTGTGCTGTTTGTGTTCTTGCAGATCGTTTTGGTCGCTTCCTCAGACACAGAGCGTACTTGTGCCGATGCAGTGATCGCGTTGTATCGCAAATACCAAATAACCATTCACAATGATAATCCCGCACGCCTCACCCTAGCTAGTATGCAGCGGTTCTTGGTTAAATCACCTCTTAAGGTAATTAAAGACGAGTATTCACCTTACCAAAAATATATTCGCAGCTGCGCCTGGTGCACGTTCACGATGACGAATTCAGGCGGACCCTGCCCCAAAGCTTTGCGCTCTATAAGAAGTATCAGATATCGATACACAACGATCCCCCAAAGGATCAGGCCGCCTACAAGGAACATCTGCAGTTGACCCCCATGAAGGTTTTCCTTAATTCTAATGTTTTTCTTTTTTTGCATACAAACTTAAACGTTTCGGATCTTACCTGATATCGTCATGACGTATTTGCTTGTAGAATGAAAAACCCAGCGATGGTCCTGAAATGGGCTACGGTTCGTTTCATCAACAGTACTGGCTAGACGACAAGCTGATTGCCGTGGGCGTGATTGACATCCTGCCCGGTTGCGTAAGTTCGGTGTACTTTTTCTACGATCCGGACTACAGCTTTTTATCGCTTGGCACATATGGTTCACTCAGGTACAGCAAGATTCCAAGCAATGAACGATACAAGTATACAGAAGAAATTCTTTTAGGGAAATTGACTTGGTGCAGTCACTCGCCGAGAATGTGCACGGTCTAAAGTATTACTATATGGGCTTCTACATACACTCCTGCCCCAAAATGCGCTACAAGGGCAAGTTGTCCGCCTCTTATTTGCTGTGCCCGGAGACTTATAAATGGTTACCGCTTACCGATGGTAAGTTTGCGATTTCATCGATAGTATTCTGTACTAATCACAATCACATGCATTCAGTTATTCGTGCTAAGCTAGACGAACATAAATATCAACGCTTAAACGAAGATCCAGCAGCTAGAGATGCGAATGAGTTCTTGGCGGAGCATTTAGACGATGTTATGCTGCTCTTGGATGCCCAAACCTGCACTGAGTACAAGCATTACATGCGGGCATGTTTACCAACAATAGCATAAGGGGTTCAAAATACTAATTTACATTTTATTTACAGCTGGGCGGTGCAGACTGCGATGTCGATACCATTATTGAGTACAGCAAGCTCGTGGGAAAAGCGTGTGCCTGGCGCATGCTATACGTGAATATGTCGTAAACGATATGCGACCACAGAATTTAATTTGTTTTTAAAATAGTAGTCAAGTAAAGTTGCCATTATTTTGATTGGAATTATATGCCGTTCGCAATAGCAAAGATGTACTAGAGTAACTGTGCTTGATTTACGCAAGATGTTGAAAATATAAAAAGTTTTAATAATGCCGCCGTTCAATGGTCTTCCTCTGGTTTGAGGTGGTCTTCCTCCACCATTCAGCCATCGCTGCTGGAATGTAAATCAAAACATGCTCGTCACTCATACACATTCTGCAAAGCTGACAGTTTCCCTCATAATCGCTTCTTATCAGAAACAAGCAGCTAAATGCATCAATTAAGTTTTATGGGTTGGCAACATGTACATCATACATTCTGTGTTGGTACAAGTCGGATAAACGTTGGAGATAAAGTACTTTATAAGGCACTCCACAGGGTGAGATAGTTGGCCAGGAAGCCAATTGTTGCCGTGAAATTAAGTCGTTTACAGCCGTGGAACAACTCGGATGTGTTCAAAAGGGTTCGGATTACCAACTGTCTACGCTGGAAAGAGTGTTATCCAAGGTGAGGAATGTGCGAAGTTATTTACGTCTGAAGACGAACACTTAATTATAAATAAACTTATGTCAATAGTATCTGTTCTGCTGTGGCTTTTCACTGACATTCGCCAAGTGCGCTAATTAAACAAAATATAAAACAAGTGGACGGTCAAGTGAGTTTTTACAGCACGTGTTTTATGGTGATATTTTTTCCAAATTTATGAATATGGGCGACATATAGCTGCCGAATAAACCAATATATCGTTGGCTAGTTGGGATGTACCCAAAAAATTAGTAATGTGAATATAATGTGGTCATATTTTTGAATTATTAGTCACCGTGTTTATTGGCTTACATTTTAGCACAATTTTGTGAGATTTTTTGTTAACAAATTTCGCGGCACTTTTGTTGCGCAAATCGCATGCGATTTTTTGGCACGCTATCAGAAAGCGTTAAGAGCCGAGCCAGTCGACGTTGAGCTTCAACCGTCGGCAGCAAATTTAAACAATTTTGAACCGTTTTAACCGCTGCTGCCGCCGCTGAAAACGAGACTGCGACTGCGGCAGGTGGAAGTTTTGCTTAAATCGTCGCCCAAGTATATATGCCATCGCCAACTGCCGATTTAGCTTCATTCGCCGCGCGACGTTCTCAGCAGTCCGTTTCGGTCGGTCAGCTCCTAGACACAAGTGGCAGCCACATAAAGTGAGTTCAGTGCGGCGACTCGGTGCAGCCTAGCTGCTACTTACGCATTTCATACGCGCCTCCTTCCTCCCGACAAGAAAGTCAAGATGTTGCAGCAGCATTCGGAGCGGATGCTTTCCATATTAATTCGATATTTTTCTGAGTCCGTGGTAAAATTCCATGCAAAATTGGTGTCACGAAGAAGTACGAGCGGAGATAAGCGGAGATGACTTTGGGTGTTTTGTGATCGCGAGTGGGTTGTGTGGTCGCTCTACGGTCTATTGCAAATTTTCCATAACGAATCGATTGCGAAGAGATCTTGTGAGCCAGGCCCCCTATTTGTACGTACGTACATATACGAATGGAGGAACATTTCGAGTGGATGGCTTAAAAATAGAGAAATCGAATTCGAATCGGAATTGGAATTCCAGCTTAATTAGGCACTGACCGTTTTATTTTCAGTTACCCCAAAATTTGCATCCCAAATAATAACAGGTTTCGTTATTTTGATTCATTGAACCGCGTCCAGCATTCCAAATAATTTCAATTTGATATCAACTTATCCGTGTGTGATGCTCGTTCCACGCCTTGGCAACAAGTCACTGGACTAACATTCCAAGTGGTTGCACTTGGCTCAGGATTAGAGACTTTGAACCCATGCTGGACAGGTCTAGTAGCCATTTGGTTGTGGTACAGGTTTTGGGGCTAGGCAAAAGATTCAGACGTAGATGGGCTTTTATGCAATGATATTCGAAGCGTTTGCTTGATGGACTTACATAGTTGTGCTTGGGGAAAATGTGAATAGCAGTATTTCACACTCGTGATTTTTATTAGCATGTGCGTGCAATATTCGCAATTGTCGCATCGATTTGGCATTATTCAATTCGGACAGGCATTAACAATCATTACTACTTACATGCGCCACGTAATTTTTCGAAATTTAATTATAACGTGCAAAAATGCAAAAATAAAACAAAAGAAAAACACAAATTATATGATTTCAATGGGAATTGGTGCAAAATGGCAATTCAGTTCGCCCGACTGAGGCTATGAGAACCCAATTTGCGCAAAAACAATGTTCTACTACAATAACTGACAACCGAAGTGGGTTCATTACCGGTCTTGATTTGTTAGCCAGTTACGCTTGATTGCCGCTGAAATAACCTGCAGAGTTCTAAGCCAAAAAACAAAACAAAAAAAAAACACACACACCAGAATCGAACTCCGCTCCGTACGATACCATTTTTGATGGGATGGGGGACTGGAGGATGCCAAGAAAAGGGCGAAGAGAGACCAACCTTAAATCGTGTCAATTGGGTAGCCAGCGAGTCTTATGTAAATGAAATGCGTGTTGTGAATACCCGACTCTGTTGCTTCATATTCGGATTCATGGCTAACCTGCATCGAGATGTCGATCTATACGGCTCTTATGGGATCCTTCGAAACGAGCGCTTTCCGATCGTAAATCAAATCATTAAACGTGGTAAACACACAGTTTGCAGTTAACGCCGTCCACTGCGATTGCGGCTAATTGACGATTAACCCGACTAATGATCGTCGTTCACTAGTTGATAGTCAACTTATCACGACCATGTCCATGCGCCATAGTCGCCCAACTATACAACACCTCTTTATGGGCCATAAATTGTCGAGCTGATTTTATAAACTCAATTGCGAGGATGTTGTTAAGAGCGTAACGCTGCAGATTAGAAGGAGAAGCTGGCGCTAACTTAATGCCCCATATAACCCGTACCATGGCTGGGAAAACACAGAGAAACAAAACCACAAACTCTTGGCCTAATGATTTGTTTGGGCTTTCAGCACTTTATCGGGAGTCCAGATCGCTGTAACATGAGTCCCCGCAATTAGGCGTTCAGTTACTCAGCAATAAGGCCAAATTAATGCCGAAGGTCATTAGTTGCGTTCTTTGATCTCTGCGCAAAGGTATAATTAAAAGATTTCAATTCACGTATTGCAAAGCAGTTATTTCCATTTATTTCCCAGTTGCCAAATTAGTTTCTGAGAACCATCTACGGGTGTTCACAGCCAACTCACGTAGTTAAACCCACATGCATTGCGCTTCCAGGCGCCCCAAAGGGTTAGATTGCCTTTAGTTTTGCTTCTTTTTGCCATAATCCAGTTTGTGGTCTAGTCGCAGGATGCAATACCAAAAAACCAGTCCATATATGGAGTTCTGTGCATAGAAGCAGGCTATTTTTACTGCTGTTTGAGCGCGGAATAGTGCCATTCCCCTTGGCTCCATTCAGGTAATTCAATGCTTGGGTTGTGATTGCTTATCACAGATTGCCTATAAAGTAGGTATATTTATGAGCCCCTTCACACTAAGAGCTTTAATCGGATTCCATGACTTAAGTACGTGTTTAGTACGGGAGTCCATGCTAGAAGTGTTCGATCCCAATATAATTTGTAATTAAACGCCACTGTGCCTTTATGTCGAAAACTTGTATGACAGTCGAGCAAACACATCTTTTGTGCGAAATGCAGCGAGGACAGCTGTTTAAATGATCCAACTTCGTTGCGATGGCATCTACCAGACAAGTATTATCGCAAGATCATATCCCAGGGATCGTTAGAATGGCTAGATTGGAAAATGGGTATGGCATGCCAGCGGCCAATTATCATGCTGCTTCCTCACTACCGCAAAACTCTGACGTTGCCAATGCCATTCGACACTTCGTCGAAATGAGTTGAATTTGATTTAGTTATTTGATTTAGTTATGCATTTTGTTATTTCGATCGCACTCGATTTGACTAAGCGGAGCCCTCACGTGCCGCTTTTCGAGTGTTCGAGTGCCGGATTGGGACGTGCTTATAGAATTTGACAAGTGCATTGCACGCAGATAATGCCAAAAGCACTCTCGAACGATACGAAACCCGCAAAAACTTCACGGCTAATTCCATGTAGACCGTTACACGTGCACGTTTGCCAGTTGGGTTTTTGCTGGCCGCATTGTGACATCTCCATGCCAAAAACTAATCACGGCTATCACCTTCACTTTATTACTATATAACATTATAAACAGATTGCTGCAGTTATCAGCGGTTTGCATTTAATGAACGGAACGGGGTGTTTAAAAGAATATTAAATTGTAATTTTATTGTCAGTTAGATGGCAGTAGTACCCGAGCAGCCAATTAAGTTATCTGTTTTAGGGCAGATAAATTTGTCAGTCAAAGAGCAATATTTCAGAACTCCAGCGAAAAATCTATTCTATCGATCCATCAATAAGTGCTTTCTATGCATTTAGTTTTATTAAGATATATTGCTTTTTAAACGGCATCGTTAACCTAATAGCGGCAATTAATTTAAAAAAATACAATAATAGGTATCCAAAACATAAATGTAAATTTATTGAAATTGATTGCCCCTTCAGATCAGGTGTTTCCGAAAATAGCCCCTAGTGACTCGGCATTTGAAGCCTCATTCAATAAATTCACAAACATTTTGGCGAATGCCTGGGGAAGCACACGTACTCGTACGTAAAGTGATCTGCATAAGATCCGAAGATCTGGCTAACAGCTTCCTGTTGTTTTCATTTTTCAGCTGACAACCGACGCAAGGCAACGGAGCCATAACAAAAGCCGCCGAAATGGCCTTCATGCCGTGCTGTAAGTACCCAAATACATATATCATTGCCACACGCCGTCAAAAACGCCTCACGTGATCTTCCATTTCGCACCGAGATCCCCGAAATGATATGATATCCAGCGCAAATATTGAAATTTGCCCATGCGCAGCCCATTAGAGAGCTACGACCCAGCCCAAAAACGGGAATGGAGATCTTTCCGATCCGCTAATTGATCTAATGATGCTGCCGAGGGGCCTGTTCGGATATCAAAAATTAAATAACGATCTGTCAATAATCAATATTTGCTGTCGTTTGCAGTCTATGTCCCCAAGCGGATTAACCTGGCGATCATGCTCTTCATGGCCTGCCTCCTCAGCTATATGATGCGGGTGAATCTCTCGATCAACATCATCGCCATGGTGGAGGACACGAGCGTCCACGAGAATGGAACGGAGGTGGAGGCTCTGCCCGATGTGAGTAAACCACTGCTCATAACTTTATATTCAATACTAAAGTCAAGCTAGAGGGACTTGCCTCTGTCCATCCTATCTATTCCATTTACTTTGGACATATTCCATCATTAATCTTACTATCCCACATCTCCCAGTATGGACCGCGCTATAACTGGACGCAATCGGATCAGGCTTTGCTGCTGGGTGCCTATTTCTATGGCTATATGCTCACCTCACTGCCTGCCGGCACTCTGGCCGAGATGCTGGGAGCCAGAAATGTGGCAGGCTACAGTTGCCTGGTGGCCGGCATCCTGACGGCTTTGACTCCGGCGGCAGCTGCCTGGGACAAATATGCGGTGTTTGTCTTGCGCTTCCTGATCGGCTTCCTTAACGGTGTTGTGTATCCGTGTTGCCACAGCCTGGTGTCCAAGTGGTCGCCTCCGGATGAGAAGGGCAAGTTTGTGGCCTCGCTGATGGGCGGTACCTTTGGCACTGTCATCACATGGCCAATCAGCGGAGTGATCATCGAGAATCTGGGCTGGGACTGGGCTTTCTACATTGTGGGCATATTCGTGCTGTTTGTGGTCGCTATATGGTTCTACCTGGTGGCGGACACTCCTGCCCAGCACAGTACGATCAGTCTCAAGGAGCGCGAATATATCGAGAGCAGTTTGGGCGACACTCTGAGCAACAAGAAGGTAAGTTCCCCGTAAAATGCAACGTCTTACAAGTACTTACTTTTATATTTGATGCAAACTTTGTAGAAGTGGCCACCATACAAGGAGCTCGTCCTGTCGCTGCCCTTCTGGTCGCTCGTGATGCTCCACTACGGCAGTATGTGGGGTCTGTTCTTCCTGATCACCGCCACGCCCAAGTTCTTGAGCGAGGTGCTGGGCTTCAATCTGTCCTCCGCCGGCTTCCTATCCAGCCTGCCACATGTGGCACGTTTGCTCTGTGCCTTCGGTTTTGGCGCTGTGGCGGATTGGATTCGTCGACGTGGTTGTTGGTCGGTAACCCGCATGCGCAAGGCCTTCTGCTTGCCCTGTAAGTTATATATATTATGCATCTTATTAGTATACTATAGTGTTCTATTTAAATTTTGAATAGCTCACATTATGCCCGGCGTTATGCTGATTATCCTTGCCTACTTCGGTCGCGATCCCTATGTGTGCGTTGCCATTATGACCATTTCGCTGGGCTTCAATGGAGCAGCCACCGCCTCCAATTTGGCCAATTCCCAGGATCTGGCGCCCAACTATGCGGGCACGCTGTACGGCATCATCAACTGTGTTGGCACCACGCCCGGCATCTTCTCGCCCCTGATTGTGGCCGCCTTTACAAAGAACGAGGTTTGTGTGGATGCTCTAGAAACTCCCAATATCCATATCATTCCCATATTTCCATATTTCCCATTCTCCACAGAACACAATCGATCAGTGGTTCTGGGTGTTCAACATTGGAGCCGCTGCCTACATATTGCCCGCCCTGTTTTTCTGGGTCTTTGGATCGGGCAAGATCCAGAAGTGGAACGAGGTTCAGACCACCGAGTCGCGAGAGGATATTGTCAACACAAAGTTGTAGTTTGTGTGCCCTGGCAATCACCTGTGATTATGTACTTTAAGTATTATGCCATAACGACGATTTGTACTTCTTTATGGAGAGAGAGTCCTATTAAAACCATAGCCGTGTATTTATTATTAACAATTATGGTTGCACTTAGCGCACGTGAATTCTGACTCACGAGTCAGGTGAGGTCGAAACCAGTTCCTCTTAGATTGGCACAACGACCTTAGCCTGGTCGGAGATTATACTCTTTCGAACTGGTTGGGGCTTTTTGCAGAGTGCAGTCGATTAGGAACTGTGGCTTCAAGAAACGGAATTGCCACCAGTGATTAGTCAAATGCTAATCAAATTTGAGGACACTTTTAACTAACAAATTGCCGCTTTTAATTGCGTGTTAACGTCATGTCCAACAAGTTGTTAGTAGGTTAGCGACGAAGTCAATTCGCAATTTATAAGGTGTGAAAATTCACCTTAAAATCAAAATTAAGATATTGAGTCATGGAAATTGTGCGAAATGCCTATTAATATGCTATCCCATTCCGAAACAAAAAAAACCTTTAAATCTTTAACAAAATATCCACACATTTGTGTGAAATTAGAGCTAATTATGTACAAGTAAACTTACCGCTAATGGTTACAAGAGACACATTTCCTTCACAAGTTGGTCACTCAACCTATAATTAGCACACATTAGGAACACTACCGTGGCCTATAAAAGCCAGGAACTTGAGTACCGGCTGCAGACGGTGCAAAATGATAGAGTCGGGAAAGTGGCCGTCTCCAGGCAAAAGGACCTCCAAAGGCGGTGAGAGCAGGAAGCGTAGGAAGGAGCCGAGTTCGCTCAGGACGGCCGTACTGGCCACATTCTGGGAGTACACGGAGCGGACCAAGGTTAGCGGCATGTGGCTAATGCGGCGGAATCGCACCTACGGCTTGTCCCGGTTCATCTGGTCCTCGGTACTGCTGCAGCTGCTTCTACTGAGCATCTACCTCACCCTGCTGCTGTGGCTGAAGTTCTACTCTTACCCCATCCTAAACACCATTTCCAACGATCTTTCCATTACGGACGTGGCCTTCCCGGGCGTTACCATATGCAGCCCAAAAGTGGTCAACTCGGAGCGGGTGGATCGCTATGTTAAGACGCTGTAGGGTGATTCTAAAGATAAAGTGATTCTAGGATATCTATTTACCTTTTTGCTTCCCTTATAGGAAAATTCCCAAGGAGTACGACATAGCAGATGTGATCGCCGGCTTTGATTTCCTTAACGCCTTCACGGATCAGAGCTTTGAGCCGCCGGGACACGATAGCTATCGGGCCACCGATGCCGTGCTTCGGCTGAACAACGTGACCACCTGGGAGGCGGCCATGGCCGTCAGTCCGGGATGCTTTGATTACGTGAAGCGCTGCTTCTGGGGCCACACGGAGTTCCAGTGCAACCAGAGCCACGAGTACCTATCGTTCATTCCAACCACCGCGTACCTGGGTCCCTGTTGCTCCTTTAACTATAATCCCAGGAACGCCAGCTTCGTGCCCTTCTCGGCCAACATATTTGGCATGGACGGCGGTCTGACCTTCGTGGGTGCGGAGGGCAGCGAGCGGAACCTAAACACCGGCCTGATTGTCCTGGTCCACCACCCCATGGACTACGTGACTGAGGCGGCTGCCTCGGTGACCATTACCGCTCAATCTGAGAGCTTTGTGGAGGTATCGCCCACGGTGCAGAGCTCCTCGGTGGAGGTGCTGGAGCTTTCGGAACGTAAGAGGGACTGCCTCATCTCGGGCGACCTGCAGCTGAGCAATTATCGCCAGGCCGCTTGCCTCCTCGCCTGCCAGACGGCGGCCATCGTCCAGAAGTGCGGCTGTCATCCATATTTGCTGCCCATCGTGGGCAACAAGTTCAAGGAGTGCAATCTAAACGACACCTTCTGCTATTCCGCCAACTATGGTGGGTACATCTTATCTGCGAGTTCTTTATAAAGAGGCCTTCATTATATAAATTCACTTACCTTTCCTGTATGTAGATAACTTCAAAAGTGTGCGCTGTGATCAGTGCCTGCCCAATTGCTATGATGTCACCTACTCCACGCTGTCCTATAAAACAGATCTCAACCAGCATCGGTACTCCGTGAGCCGCTTCTAGTGAGTAAAATATGGGTTACTTGACTTGGTTAGCGACTAGTTTTCATTCTTTATTGCTTACACAGTTCTACGGAACTGCGAAACAACGATAGTTTCGTTCTCCGGGTCTACTTGGCCAAGCAAGTGGTTCCAGTTATTCGGAAAGTAACCGTTATGTCTTGGGTAGGACTTTTATGTAAGTGCTGGTACCGTTTTATAGGTCTGGTATTTTAATTTTCAGTAATTTCAGCGGACTTGGGTGGCATCTTTAACCTCTGTCTGGGACTAAGTATGATTTCTGTGGTTGAGTTCTTTTACTACTGCACGTATCGCTTATATATCAACTACCAACTGCAGAAGGCTCAGCAACCCAGGAAGGCATGGCAATAAATTTAATACAAAATAATATTTATGCCAGTAAATTAAAGTCTTTCAATAAAAATCGAAAATATTGATAAAGCGCCAAGTCGATAACACGGCTATCGCATCGACAACGAGTGGATATGTCTCTGTTGGTATTTCTTCCCAACTGATTTAGTCTATACTTTTGGTATTTTTTACGATATGTGGTTACTAGAGATGGTAGTGATTCATAGTTATATGTCACTGATATTTCAACGTTTTTATGAAATAATTAAGAGAATCATAGTTAATTTTGCATATTGAAATAATATGTTTACTTGCGATGACTGTCGCAAAAGTACACACTGGCCGTCGGCATCGATAGCCACATCAATCGATGTGGTCCGTGATAGAAAACCATCGATACCGATGCATCGATAGCGGTCACCGCTTCTGTTGGACTCTACATTTTAATTTGTTTAACAAATTCTTAGGCCAGTACGCAAGTAAACGCGGCGGCGTATAATACATATTTAGCATAATTTCCACTGAAATCCGCGCAAAATGGCCGAGGTTGAAGCCGTGCAGATAATTGCCGAGTCGTTGAAGCAACAGGTAAGAGGATCACCTGGTCCACCCAGCCATTTGTCCGACATTTTGGCACTGCACTTTTCTGCACTTTGGATAATGCCCAGCTACCAATGTATACATATATGGCATTTATCAACGGGGGCCGCGGAATCTGTGGCGCTGGCAAGAACAATGGAGTAGTCTCTTATCTTGAGGCACCTGTTTGTTGTGCAAAGTTCAAAAACACTTGGTAACTGTAAGTGTGGTTGTTGTTCTCGTTGTTGTTTTTGCTGCTAAGACTAGCCTCCCGATTAGTCCGGTTAATAAAAGACGGAACGGATTTGATAAAGAGCATGTTCCAAAGGTTTGGAACCACGACCCAAAGACCTTGGTGCTTGCAGCTGCGATTATCGCCGGGGGGCAGATTAAAATCAATAAAACTTTAACCGGATTCCTGGCAAATCACTCAAGAACTCGTGTGTGCACATGGGATTGTGATGTGCTCTATAAATTGCCATAGTTATTGAGTTGAATTATTGATCGATGGCTGAATAGCGAATCTAAATACGCGCACTTTATTTGTTATACCGAACAGGGCGTGGAGTATGTCTTTGGCATCATCGGCATCCCGGTCATCGAGCTGTCCATGGCCTTCCAGGCCGCCGGACTGAAGTACATCGGTATGCGGAACGAGCAAGCCGCCTGCTACGCTGCCCAGGCCATTGGCTACCTGACTGGCAAGCCGGGAGTCTGCCTGGTTGTGTCCGGACCGGGATTGCTTCATGTTACGGGTAAGCATACGAATTAGACATCCCGATGGGTTAATCTTTACTAATCCGACTCCATTTAACGATCAGGTGGCATGGCCAACGCCCAGGTGAACTGCTGGCCACTGGTCGTCATTGGCGGAGCCACCAACCAGGATCACGAGGGTATCGGAGGCTTCCAGGAGTGCCCGCAGGTCGAATTGTCCCGCCCGTACTGCAAGTACGCTGCCCGGCCGGCCACTGCTGCTCTAATTCCATTGCATGTGGAGAAGGCGGTGCGCTATGCCACCTATGGACGCCCTGGAGTTGCCTACCTGGACTTCCCCGGCAACATCCTGCAGTCCAAGGCCGAGGAGGCCCGCATCTACAAGGTTTTGGCCCATCCGGCTCCCCCACTTGCCTATCCCCCGCACGATGATGTGATCCAGGCCGCCAAGCTACTGCGACAGGCCAAGCGACCCCTGGTGATCGTGGGCAAGGGTTCCGCTTACGCCCATGCCGAGAACACACTGCGGCACTTCATCGAGAACACTAACCTGCCCTTCCTCCCCACCCCAATGGGCAAGGGCGTTGTATCTGACACGGCTCCGCAGTGCGTTTCCTCGGCTCGCACCCTGGCCTTGCAAAAGGCCGATGTGGTGTTGCTGCTGGGCGCTCGCCTTAACTGGATTCTCCATTTCGGAAAGGCTCCTCGCTACGACAAGGACGTGAAGTTTATACAGGTGGACATCAATCCTGAAGAGCTGCATAACTCTGTTGTGGCTTCGGTGGCCATTCAGGCGGACATCCGTCCATTTGCCGAGCAATTGTTCGAACAAATGAACGCTGTTAACTTCCGCTTCGGTTACGAGCAGGATTGGTGGAAGCAGTTGGCCGTGAAGTGCAAGCAGAACCGGGACACTGTGCAAAAGATGTCGATGAACACGGAGACGCCACTCAACTACTACGCAGTGTTCCACCATCTGCGTGAGCTGCTGCCCAAGGACACGATCATCGTTAGTGAGGGCGCAAACACCATGGACATTGGTCGCTCCATGCTGCTGAACGAGCAGCCCCGTCACCGCCTGGATGCCGGTACCTTTGGCACCATGGGCGTGGGACCTGGATTCGCGGTGGCCGCCGCGCTTTTCTGCCGCGACTTTGCGCCTGGAAAGCGAGTCCTCTGCGTGGAGGGAGACAGTGCCTTCGGATTCTCGGGCATGGAAATTGAGACTATGGTGCGCTATAAGCTGCCCGTCACCATTGTGATTGTGAACAACAACGGCATCTATGGCGGTTTCGACAAGGACACTTTTGAGGCCATTCGCAGTGAGGGCGATCTTACCCAAATGTGAGTGCTAGCAGCTTATCGGTTTATCTGGTACAACAACTTACGGCTAATCTTATCTTGCAGCACACCACCATCGGCATTGGGAGTTCAGGTGCGCTACGAGGAGATGATGAAAATGTTCGGCATGCAGGGCTACTTCTGCACAGACATCGAACAGCTGCAGGCGGCTGTAAAGGCGGCCAATCAGCTCAACGACAGGCCGACCATCATCAACGTGGCCATCAGCCCGTCATCCGATCGCAAGCCGCAGTCCTTCAACTGGCTCACAGAGTCAAAACTGTAGAATACCATTAACGTTTAGGTCTTAAGCACAAAGTTCACCATTCCGAAAGTTATATTGCCACGAATTTTTCTGTATATACATGCAATTTTTGATACGTCTCTAAACTCCTTAATTGTTGGCTCGCTTCAGCTCCTCCTCTATGCCAAGGTAGTCTAAAAACCATGTGAAGTCCACTAGGCGGCCTTTGTGCAGAAATGGCAACTTGGGGCACAGCTCAAAGGCAATGTTCAGAGGAGCAATGTCGGGCACTTGGTCGTTGCGCATGTTGAAGAAGGCGAGGAAGTCGCGCACCTCAATTTCGTTTTGTCCGTTGCGCTGCAGCACCATCAGTATGTCCTCCACCAGCTCCAAGCTGAAGGGCAGCCGGCAGCCTCGCAAAGTAGACCTTACCTGACCCTCGCTGATGTACGGCTTGCAGGCCGGATTAATGTGGCTCAGGTGATCGTTTAGCTGATCCACGCCGTTCCACAAAGCTCGCTTCAGCTCCAGTTGGGCGGCAGCTCGCACTCGATTCCTGTCGCAGCTGGGAGGCATTGCCTGTTCAGCCGAGAAGAAGCGACACACGGTCACAATTTCATGGTTGAGCAGGCAATCCTTGGACAGATAAGACAGGAGAGTCGAGCGCAGCGTTTCGAAGCTAACGGTTGAGTAGTCCCCAAGGTCGCCATCCGGTTTGCAGCACAGCACGAACTGCTTGTAATCCGGGCGCACTGCATCACGGATCTTCTGCATGATTTGCCTTATGTCCGCTACGTGGAACTGAAAATAGAATGTATGTAAAGTGGTATTACAGAATTGTAACTATAACAATATTTGGATGATACTTGATTAAATAGACATGATAATGTAATTAATAGACTTGCCTCGCTGGGATGTTGCTCCATGTACAGCAGCGTAAATTCATCAGCGGATACAATGTGGAAAATGTGGTCCTTAAGGGTCATTGTGCGTCCTATATAGAAGTCATTGGCCCTGTAGTACTCCGGTCTTGAGGAGCTAAACATATCCTGACCCGGCAGTGGTACACGTGCCCTCTTAAGAAATTCGCCGCCAAGAAAACCCGAATTTCGACGTGACGACTCATAGATTTGCACCGTGTCATCGGCCAGGAAATAGCTGATGACAAAGTCGCGCTCCCCGTTGTCCCGAATGGCCGAGATGAGCTTGGCCCCGAAGCGCAGGATGCAGCCGTCGTACTTGAACAGCTTCTTGAAGTCGGCCTGTGGCGGCTTGGGCTCCACGGTGATGCAGTTGCCTTCGGAATCCTCATGGCTACCCCAGCCATTGTATGGTGGCAATCGGCGGGATCCCATGCCACCTTGGGTGTACGGTCGAACATCACTGCGGTCTGGGATCGGTTGCGGGCAGAACTCTTGGATGCCGTACTTTAAAACGTAATTGGAGAGCAAAGTAATTTATGATGTGTAAGATAACATTAGTTGATCCTCACCTTTTCTCGGTAGTAGCTCTGCGTAAACTGATCGCAGCCTGTGAGTACCACAGACCTCCCAAAAACATTTAGGACTGCGCCTATCTGCAGATCCTGATCGGTGTAATGATGCACCTCTTTTTGACCGGTGTTCAACGGGTCGGCTACGTAGCGCACATCGCGCATACTGTTCCCGAGAACATTTAGCAGTGTCATGGCCGTTTGTTGGCCGGGCAATGGAAGTCCGGAGAACTGCTTTGGCAACTTGGCTCGCTTCAGAAAAGTCGTGGGTCCTTCTCGCCCCGAATTACGTGGAAATTTCTCCTTTATGTCAATGGTGTCGTCGGCCAGATAGTAGCATACTTCCAGCTTTCGGACGTCACCAAACTCACTACGATCGTTCCAATATCCCTGAAACTTAAGTACTCGCCTGTCGAACTCTAGGAACTGGGCAAACGCATGTTTCTTGGGCAGAGCCGAAGTGCAGCTATGAGCCGTTTGCTTTAAGCCTGAACGCTTGCGGATCTCCGTTGTGGGATCACTAAATAGGAATGTGAAGTAGGCTTTGATTCATTCCATTCAGCAGTACTTGGTAATATACATTTACAAGTGTTTGCAGGAAATCACAAAGTTTAAATGTGAAGAGAGGATACCCTGACTTACCTCGGCTCCTGCTGGGCCTCAGGCACGAAGATGCCGGCTCGATTGAGGAATTGTCGCGTGAAGATGTCACATCCGCTGATGTGGTATACCCGATCGAAGATCTGCACATCCGTGTCCACGTTCAGGTCGAAGATGGAGATGAACTCGCGGTCGGTGGGTGGAGCTTTGGGTATACGCTGGCGGTGCACTAGGCAGCCCTGCGGTATGCCGGAGTTCTCCACCTTCGGCTCGGTGACCTGCATGGTACCATCCTCCAGGTAGAAGAAGATCTTCACCTTGCGCACCTGGTAGGGGGCGTGGTAGACCTCCGTCAGGTTCTCCTTGAAGTAGGCGTTGAAGCACAGCACCTGCTTGTCGTAGGCCAGCCAGGGTGGCAGCTTGGTGGTGGCCTTCGGAGCCCACAGGCTGTTGATCTGGGCGGGAACGGGCGGACACTTGGGATCGGCCACAATGCCATTGGGCTCCACCAGTTCCGGCTCCCGGCGGTCCGAAAGCATCTGGATACCCTGGTAGTGCATCAGCGTTTGCTGCCGCGGATGACGACGCTTTCCACGCTGTCAGGGAGTCCCAGTTTAATAATTGGACGACATACTAATGCCGGAACTTACATCGTAGAACTGCGCACCTGGCAGCATGGGCATTCCCGGTAGTCGCATCATTTTCACAGATAATTTCGCACTCTCTTGGCTGAACCAAAATAAAATTTTGCTGAATTTCTTTGCCAAATCGTTGTGGTTACATTTGCCTTGAAGCCAAAAGCTCTGGTATGGCAGTTAACGCCACGCAATTGAATTGTGGACTGGACTGCTTGAGTGTTCCGACATTTCCGCTGCTATTCGATAAATGGAACAAGCGGAGCTATGGCAATGCCACCTCACCATGGCAGCCCAGAAAGTCAACTGGTCAACAAGCCAACGCCACTAACTGCAACTGGTAGCGGTTTCCAAGGAAAGTATGGGTCAGCTTCTACCACGCAGAATATGATATAGTACATATATTAAATGTAAATATACATTTCTAAAGGTTTTTGCCTTAACATGCTACAGATAATACTTAAGAGGCAGGCATTTCAGTCGGTGATTAAATTGGTGTCGCGGTCCAATGACTTTCTGAAGTCATGGCCACCGTTTACAGTGGTCTGGTGGCGCAGACGCAGTGTTTGCTAATTAGTCTGGCAGGCAAAAGTAGGTAACCCATAGGATCACGTGCTTTCTATCACCTCTCTTTAACACCATGCACACACCCATCTGGCCGGCTTACAAACTGTCGTGGAACGAACCGACCCATGGCTGTGGAGCTGTAAGAGTCGAGGTGGTAAACGCTGCCAAGAGCTCGAGCAGACAACACATGAACCTGTTGTGAGTTAATAAGCCATGAAGTGTTATTTTTAGTTTCTACTGACACACGCTCCTCTTTTGCTAATATAGTGCGAAAATTATAGTGCTCCTGTTCACTCTGGAGGCTGTGAGTGCTTTGGAGGCCAATCTCACTTCGTGGCGACACCACAGAAGGCAAAAGCGGTTCCTGATTTATCAGAATGGCGGTGTAATCAAGGTTGGACATCAAATATTTATTGGGTATTGATCGATATACAGTAATGTGTGTCACTACAGTTTGTTTCGGGATGTGCATTTCCGGTTCCGTTTATGGAGAAAAAGGCGTGGCGCCAGTTGATTTGGCTGATGAACTTCCACTACCAGTTCAATGAGCCGCAAACTCCAATTTACTGGTGGAAACTTTGGGATAGTTCCCGAAATCTCAAGGGACCTTTGTCCCAACCAGCTGCTCCATCGGTTCCAGCCCGCCTTCTGGTGGATGAGCCCCAGCTTTTGCTCTTCAAGTTTGCCGAGGCCTATATGAACCAGTTGGCTCAAAATGGTAGTGCCTGTCTGGAACGCCTAATCTGCGAGAATGGTCAGGTGGATGAACATAGTGGACTCTATGCCCAACTGCTACACAGGCTGTTAAGGTAAGTTGACCTCCACGTGAGCTCAAGCCATAGATAACTCTACATATCCTTTAGACCTCATCGAACGCTGGACGGGAAGTATTTGGATGCCTTCAGGATGGGTCGTCATGGCGTTGACTGTCGGAAATCCTTTCCAGAGGCCCATCATTGCGTTTTGGATGACTACATACACCTCCATGAGCGGGGACCAGAACAGAGTTTTCTTTAGCCGTAGAATTCGATTTCTCTTTGGATAAATGGCGCCGGCTGTCAGCAGTTCGATAACATTTACATGACATTTACCAAACTAATTATTGATAATTAAATATAACTAAATAATTATATACAGCGAGTTCAGCTCAATTACAGCAGCTCTATTTGCCACTGGCCACCTGTTCCGCCTCATCGTCGTCGTCATCATCTGACACCCGCCAAGCCAATTGCTGGTACTTCTTGTCATTGCTGGTCAACCAGAGGACGCCGCATCGGTTGGTGCAGAAATTGCAGGTGAAGAGCTGCTTGGACGTACTGCCACGCCTATAAAGATAATGGTTCAATAATCACATAAAATTGATATGAAATTTTTGAAAATTCAAGAGTGAATTATTCATTTGGATGGAATTTTAAACCTGGAAAAACCTGATCTTCGTAGACAGTCTTCACAGTACTTCTTGTGATTGTGATAGGTCCGTTTCTTCTAATTAGCGAGCGAACCGGCTTCGGCGGTATCAAAACAATGGCCACATGACTAACGCCGAGCAAACATTGGCGTAACTCCAACCCACCTTTTCACGACCATGAAGTAGTACGAGGTATACAGACATCGGGAGCAGGTGACGTTCGTGCAGCGGGCGATGGGTCCATTGTTGATGTGGGAACTGATGTACGGTTCTGGGAGCAGTCGATGCATGGCGTCATTCTCGTAGACGGGCAAGAAGCGGTTCAGCGACTGCAGAGCGTGCAGACAGTCGTCGTAGAGCGAGACTCGGTTCTCAGCCGACGGAACCGGAAATACTGTGCGGGTGCCCACCGGAAGTAGCAATCTGGTGCTGGTCTCCAGCTCGCGGACCCAAAACAGACCCTTGCGATGAACGGCGCTAAAAAGAGGATGTGGTATGCTGTAGGATTGCAAAGATTATTTAATTCTCCTAAGATAATTTCCTCCTTTTCTTCTACAGTTGAATAGAAACCCCTTAGTCATGCTTAAAGGCAATCGGCCAGAAATAACGTAATGCACATCACCGGCAAACGAATCGAACAATTCGAAGAACAATTTTGCTGCCAAATAAATCAATCAAATATTCATCATGGCAATACCCTTTTCATAAGTTCGATGTTTGTTACAGCGCCAGAGTTAGTGAAATTGCTTACATGGGAGTGTTTCTCTGGCGGTTGTCGTAGAAGTTTTGATAGAACCTCTCGTAGACCATGGGTATGTAGTTGATAGCAGTGTTGTGGAAGATGCGCACATGGTTCATGAACTTGGAGAGAGCTGCCGGCAAGTAGATGAGCGCACAACCTGCCAACGAGAGCAGAAATTAGAGAGCTCTGCCATCCCCAATCCGGATACCGATCCCCGGGTGTACTTACGATCGGCGGCGAGGGACTGCAGCATGGGCAGGTTGGAGATGCGCTCGGGGATGTGGACCAGCGCCTCGTTGTCGCTCACATTCAGCTCGTTGAGGCGGACGCACTCGCTCAGCTGCACCGGCAGGCGGCGAAATTGGTTCTTGCCGATGTTCAGGTGCTCCAGATTGCGCAAACCACTTAGCTCTGCAAGCGGAAGAAGTGGATGGATTCCGTGGTAGAGACTGTAAACCATCCTACTCACCCACGGGAAGTTCGGTGAGCTGATTGCCCGACACATTCAGCTGTTGGAGATTCAACAGGAGACCCAGTGTGGGGGGCAGCACCTTGAGCTCATTATTGGATACGTCCAGGAACTCCAGGTTCTCCAGCATGTAGATGTCCGCAGGCAGCTCACTCAGATTGTTGCCCGCCAGATGAATGAACTTCAGTGTGGTGATGTTCAGCAGCCATTTGGGTATCACCGAGATGAAGTTCTCCTTGAGATAGACCTCCTCGAGATCCTCGTAGAGGAACAGATCCATCGGTACATCCTTGAAGTTCAGGTAGCTCCAGTGCAGAATCGTTTTGTTCATGTTGGCGATGCCGTTGCAGTTACACAATTGTCTTATTTGCTTATAGTTTGGTCGAGTTTCAATTATATTTATTTGCGTCTCTACGCGGTCATGATCATCATTTGGCACCGCCGCCCGCCAAACAAAAACTGCCACCGCCACCAGCGCCACCACAGCCACCCAGTGGCTCAGGCCCAGTGGCAGCACCACTAGAATCAGCAGCAACAGTTTGCTCTCCACCAAGAATCTCTATCTTGGCTAAATTTGTCTCACTGGCCTGTCGCAATTTCTCGCGAGCACCGCCTCCGAATTTTATTTTCTTCTTACTTATTTATTGTTTCGATAACGAATCACCCATCATAGCGCCTTTCACTGACCAACGTATACGCGGCGTATACGTAATGCGATGAGTGCCCGAAAGTATACCGTTGAGTTTTGGAGGCGGTTAAATGCCGAGCTTTGGCACTGACATTGAATTTTCCTGGTGCATTGATTCGCCCTCCCCTTTCCGGGTTGTTGCTGCATTCAAGGTCGTTGCTGCAAGCCAAATGCAAAGGGCAAGCTTTCGAAGCTCCGGCGTTGCAAGAGCTTTGTGGCAAAAGGAAGAAAAGGGGTTATGGCAAGATTCCATAAAATCCATGCGGAAAATGCGGAAAGTTTACTTGGTTGGAAAAACCAAGCTGAGCTTTTATCAATTTTTCGGAAAAGCCATTTTGGTTGACTATCGCAGTCGTATATAATCATAGTATTTAAATGAGCAAGGTTTTTACACCTACAGGAAACCTATATTATAACTTATTATCCAATTTTATAGAGATACACACATAATCTTTTCTTGTAAAAATAGTTTAATAAATAATATAAAATATTTCATAATATTCTGTATTTCCACTCGGTGGCTTCTCAGTATCCATAGTATCTATTTCCATAGTTTCCATAACCGCCATATCCATAATTATGATGGTGGTGGTGATAGGGGTACGAATAGTATCCATAGGACGGAGGTGGAGGCGGTGGTATTCCGAATCCCACGCCAATGGGCAGCGGAACAGGCAGTCCAACTACAACAGGTGTACCCATCGCTCCAGCAATGGCGAACAACACAATTCCGAAAAGAGCAATTATGGCTTTCATGTTTCTTGGCAAGATTTCGCAACCGACTGACAAACCCGAGAAGAGGCTATCGGCTTTTAAGCATTATGATGGTGGCGTTACGATTTTGGGAATTTCAATCACAGCGTGGACAAACAAAGTAGATTGAATTTCACCTGCCGAAAGGTGCGAATTGCCCCTTGAGTTGTATTTCCCCCGCAAAGTTATTCACGAAATCGTTACTTTGCACACGAGTTTCGGGTTGCTTAGTAAATCACCTTTTATCGAGCCTTTTTAGTACTAAAAACTATTTTGTATTGTATTTTTTAATTGTTTTATAAATGTGTTTGCTTCCTTTTTAAATGCTTTACTTTCAGCTAATGATGTTGGTCGTGGTGCTGCGAATCGTAGTGAGGATCATTGTGAGGATCGTAGTGCCTATAGAGATGGTCGTCGCGGTGCGGATCGTGGTGGGGATCGTGTTGGGAATCGCCTCCTAAGTGTGGCGTTGCAAAAGCGGCGGCAATGATGAGCAAAAGTACGATGAGTGCGATCACAGCATTCATGATTCTGGCTGGGGGATTCAGCAAACTGATGCACTTACTTTGGATGCATTGGCTTTTAAATGATTCGAGCAAGGGCTTTTTGGAAATCTCGCACCAAGGGGGATAAACAGAGTCAAAAGTAAGGTAAATTTCAATAGCCTCTTTGCAAGGTGTTAATTGGTTTCAGTATTTGGGTTATTTATTAAAGCTCTATACCGTTTATCACAAGTCTTAATAGGCATACACAGTTTGTCGAATCCTTGGCATCTAGGCTCCTGATTTGACATTCACAGTCAGCTGCTTGAAGTCCCGATCGCTAAGCAGGCGCCATTTGTAGCCCAAGATTTGTGAGATCTCCCGCTCGACGGCTTCATAGGATCGGGAATTGCGCTTCAGCCAGGTATAGAACTCATCGCACCACTCCGGATGCCTTGGCCAATCGCATCGCAGAATCACAGCAAATCGCCGCACGTGAAAATGCTGCAGATTCTTAGCCGTTTGTGCAATGAGTAATAGCGTCGAGGTGGAAACTTTCTCGCGTATGATCTGGGGATAGGATGATAAGGTGTTAAGTGAGTGTCAATATAATTAGGTAATACCCATTAGTCATCCATTTCCAAGCCTTGTTATCAAAAATGGTGTATTCTATATCTGTTATAATATCAATTAAGCGCTTTTGTTTTGTTTGTGCAATAGCTCAGCACTGAGATTTGATTTGAAGATATGATACGTGAGTACTCACCAGAGTGTCAACATTGAAGCACTGACGGCACATCAGCAACAGCAAACTGTCGATGCGGCTGTGAAAGGGCTTGGGGCTGGAAAAGCGCGGCAGGAGCTCGTGGCCATAGACGGCCAGGGTGCTCCTATAGTGGTCCACCATGCGGACGAGCAGCTCGGGCCGTATCCGGGCCTGGGGCGCACAGTACGTGATGCTGTGGACAGGTGCCTCCGGCTGCATCACCACCTCGCCGTCCGTCAGATTCTCCAAACGCAGGTGAACGCGCAGCCGCGGATTGGTCTTCTTCACATTTCGCCACGCCTTCACGCCGCAAGCACTTATTGTCAGGTGAGTGGGGGTGTAGCAGTTTTGGAGCAGATGCAGGTGGCGCAACTTGGTGTCCGCCAGCAGGGACAAAACGTCATCGTCTATGTTCTGGGGCGATATGGTGAGCACCTGGATCAAGAAATTTGGCTTAGTTGTGTTGTAGCAAGAAATGAAATTGAATCGCTGTCACCTGCAGATTGAGAAACAGACCCACATGCATGATGGGGCAATGCATTGTGGTCACATTCACCAGGTTGAGCACCCTCATTTTGGTGCAGCAGCTGCAAACGACCTCGTCCAGCAAGTGATTCGCCTCGTATCGTTCCAACACAAAGTCCACCAGCTTGAGAGTGTGAAGATCTGTCAATCGCAGTAGCAGCTCTTTCAGCACCCTCAACAGTTGACCTCCAGTGCCAAAGAGCTTAATGCCGTCAGGGTCGTTGGGCTGCGACATGTTGCACGGGAAGTGGTAGACCAGTGTTCGTATACGACTACCGATGCCAATGAACTGTGTATCTGGATCCACCTCTCTGCCCTAAGCAAGTTTCAAAATATATTTTATTTTTTGATAAAATCAATATTCTTATACCTTGTCAATGTTCCACGTTAACATGGTCATAAACTGGAAGATGTTATTGAAGCTGTGCCACGGTCGAAACTCGATTCCGCGCACAAACCTTCCGATTCTTGAAAGGCAGAATTGGGTTCGCATGTGATCGAGACAAAACTGCCAACCGGAATAGTAGTTGAACTTCGGTTTGGTCAGAGTGCGATCATCCACCAAAAAGTTATTCCAAACAGTTGGCAAATAGAAGGCTCTATACCACTGCCGACAAACCTGGAAAAGTCCACAAAATGGTGACACTTTAATTATAGTTCACGCAATGTCTTGCCATGTTATGGCGTTATATTGTTTTTTATTTTTAAAGCGCACGCTGAGCTAAACATACCGAATTTAATGTGAAATATTTTTGTTAAAAATATACGCGTTTATGTCCAGATACCACATAACTATCTTAAACTGTTAAAAATCGATAAGTTTTAAGATTGGTTGGCAGAAAAAAGTTTTCTGCATCGGCCGGGAATCGAACCCGGGCCGCCCGCGTGGCAGGCGAGCATTCTACCACTGAACCACCGATGCTTGGTATTAAAGTAAGTGTTTAATGACATTCTTCTATATTTTACGTTCCTTTATCAAACGATTTTATTAAAAGAACGATCTCTAATTATGACCTCTATTTTGTGCTGTACGAGCTGTATGTATATATATATTATATATGATAGTATTATAGTAGTAAGTACAGTATTATAGTAGTATTATTATAGTATATAGTAGCCTAAAACTGTTGTGATATTTAGCCTTACTCACCAGTCCGGCATAATAGCGCTCTTTCGGGGTGAGGTAGGTAAAGATTTCCTCGAGCACCAGATCAGGCAGGTACCGCCAGTTGGATTCTATCATGTTTTCGGTGTCCTGGTCCTCATCCTCGTCCACATCTATGTAGCAGGCTGGATGATTGTGTGGGGAAAACTCAGATTATTCCGGTGACTGGCATGGGGACATGAGAGTCATGAGAGCCTACCCTTCTCGTCTCCATCGATCTTCCAGCCAGCCTTTTGCATAACCTCCAGCTGGGCGCTGCTCTTCCGCCTCAGGCCCAATTCACTCATTGTTCACGCTATTGTTATTATTATTCTACGAATTTCCGATATATTTACAACGCTTGCGAAGGCACAGAACTATATGTACTCTAATTTTGAAACTTTTTTGGCACAGCCTGCGCTGACAGCTTCTTCTTGCTGTCGGTTTATTTTTATATAGTTGGACCGACCGACTGTCCGCTGCACTCGCAGTTGCGTCGCGTTTGGCCAGCGACTGTCTCTCGAATAGATTGGTATTCTTTCAGATGTTCAAATCGCACTGTTGGCTATATTCGAAAAAACTGAAAAACTGTTTTCAGTTCTCGCGCTCGAAATTGTTAGGTACTCGTACTCGTCTTCTCTTCGCAGCGCTTCCGATTTATTTTGGTTATTATTTCTTTGTTGATGTCTGTTGCTGCTTGGAACTGCGATCGAGATATGGCAACTGTTGTGATTCCGATTCTCTGTTGTTTTCGTTGTTCGGTTTTAAAATTAGACACCGGCACTTTGGGCAAGGTCCTAGGGCCTCCGTTGCGTGGCACGGAACTGGGGCAACTTGTTGATGCCACCGCTGGCAGTTGAGGTGTAAAGTATAAATAAACACTGGAGCTGCTGGAACTGTGGTGATCTAATCGATCCGCGTTTCGTTGCATGTGCATCTAAGTGTGCGTTTACGCACGTGCTGTAATAACACTAATGCACTGAGAGAACATTCGGTAGCTGTCATTGTTCTAACAATAATAATATTTCCAATTACTAAACAAAATCCCCGTGTTTTTTTTACACAAATTACGCATTTCTCTATAGGTAAAAGGCGTCTTCTAAGCATTGGCTGAAACGTACAATCCTTACTCCTTAAAAACTGCTGTAAGCTACTTACCAATTCTGACGTTACCTTATTCTTCGCCTTTGACACTTGACCCCACTTTGCCGTTCAGTGGATGGCGGAAGAAAATTCCATCGGCCACCAAACGATGCCATCGTCGTTTCCTTGACGATGCCACCAACTGAGCCAGCTGTTATCCCGTTTTCCGATTTTCCACTTGTCCACTTGTGCATTGTCATTTTCTCACACATACACATACACACACACGCACACGCACACCACAGCGCTGTGCTTACGTATACGTAATATGGCCAAGTTGGTCGAGTGTCCAGGTACACTTAGCGGAAACAGCTGTTTATGTTGATGGGCCCCCGCCAAGGAAAATGCAGCCAGGCATTTGGCCATTTTCCTGGCTCCTGCTTGGCCCTACCATTCTACTTTTTACCCAGCGAAAACGGCAGCGGCAACTTTTCCGTTTTGCAATTTCCTCTCTGCGTTGCATACTTTTAGGATAACGGAATTTTTCCGCGCCCAAGCACTTAAAAGTATGTTGAATATTGAATGAACCCAGCTGAGTGGCGGCATGGGTGTGGATGGGATTTTGGAGTCGCCTGGCTGGGGGAGAGCTGCAACAATGCGCAGCCATACGGCCTTAATTAAAACAATTTTAAAACCAGTTAAAACACACTCGCCGCTCGCCAAAATATGCACACACACATATGCACACAGCCAGCCAGCCGCTTGACAGTTGGAAAAGCGCCCTTCCGCCTTTGGTTTGCGAACACATCAAATATGACGGGCTGGGCCGGCGACCAAAATGTTGCCATGCAAATTTAAATGTCAACAAAAACTTGCAGTTTAACCCAAAAACCTTATTTGTGTCTGCCGGGCAACCGGCCATCATCTCGTAGCGTTTTCCAGGGCTGCGAAATTGTTTGTAAACTCTATTAAATGGGATGGGTGTGCAGCTATTAGAGATGAGCATGTGAGCTAGCTATTTTAAATGCGATTAAAAAATTAAAAGCGATATAATAGCATTGAATAA